TATGAATTGAGGACCATAATCCTAGTAGATACTTTCATATGCATTTCGATTCATCATGAAATACAATCCAAAGGAATATGGTTTCTATACATAATTGGCTCATACTATGTAAGATGCCCAAAACCTAATAACTTAAATTCTTGATTAGATTATTTTAAATAGACTAGCTTTAAGATAGCCTTTAATTTACACTTAACTATATATGTAGGCTCATATGAAAAATTATTTCCCACCAATCTCCCGCTTGGTCCGCATATGTTACTTTACAAATGTGCGTAACCTTATGACGTTAAAACATTTGATATTATAACAAAAGCATCTACAAACAATCTCATCCATTGATTAAGTCAATATAGGGTCAAAGCTTCTTCCTTACATATATCATAATTAAATCCATCAATAATCACGTACATCAACATAATCAAATGATATAGATTAAGTGCGAATGTGTAGCATGAAAATTACATGCAATATAATGCAAACATGCATATTTTCAACTGGTCCCACTTATTCTTCAATGAAATCAAACCAAAACTTAATAAGAACGAAAATAATTGAATTCTTTATTTTTGAAAAATAAACTAATATCCAAAAATATGAAATGTGTCTAAATATTACATCATATCTTGAAAGCTCAAATCACCTATCACAAAAATAGTTATTTTGCTTTCTTATACATGTATAATTTATAAAAAATGAAAGTGTCAAAAGTGCCACTAATTTTCTGCAAGTAAGACTCCAAACCTTAAATCAATAAGAAATGACATACAAAGAAATCACTGATGAATGAATATTCTCAAGAGCTATTAGAACCTTTTAAACAAAAAGCTCAAATTTTATTTTCAATGTATAACTCTCCATTTATCTCTCTCTCTCTCTCTCTCTCTCGTTCATTCTCTCCTCCTATTTGTGAGCATGATATGATTTCTCTCCATTAAACTTTCTAAATAACCTTTTTAGTAAGTTTTAAATCGATGTCTCTCAAGTCAAAAGACTATAAGGCACCAAGTTTTTAGATACCCAGCACACCTAATTATTCGAGTTATAAATGCTATGAAGAAAAGTATAAGGTGTCTTACTTTTTCTATTGACAAATTATTCAATTCTTTTGAAACTGAATACTATTTTTTTTTTATGGGAGAATATACTAGAGTTTAGGTCAACTAGTTAAAGGTCAATCCATATTCAAGGTTACCTCACCACACCAACGACTACTATCCCAAATCTCACACACGTTGTGGAAACTCACTTTCAAGAGTTTAATATGTATATTGCAGATGATACGTGAAGTAACATTTATAAAGTATTCCAAAGTTAATGAAAGCTTTATTCACCGTTAATTAATTTTACTAGCACTTGATCACACAATTATATGTCCAATCACTTTAGGGTTTTATAGTATCAGAAATCCTTTTTCCTTTTTTTACATTCTTTTAATTTTATAAGTTAAATATGCAATAATAATAATAATAATAATAATAATAATAATAATAATAAATAAAAGAGACAAGGAAAAAGTTACAGTGGATGCATGAATAAGTAGATACTATGAACAATGCAAATGCATGTACTTCTAGATCTAGTCAATAAAGCGCATAAATGCTCTTACCTTGAAAAGCAATGTGAGCAACACTGCAATTTACAACATCACTTTGACTAGTGAGTTCCCTCTTTTTTACTGAAGTCTTTTTAGAAGAAGATGTCATCTTAGTCAAATAACTCGTATATCTACCACGTGACTCACTTGAGTAGTCAAGAAAATAATATAAGTAGTGAGATCTTATTTATTATTCCTAACCTATGACTTTGTCACATAGGCCTTATGTGACCTAACTCACCAAATTGTCACAAGTGGGAATGAATCTAGGAGTAATTCTATGTTTCAAGTCTTGAACCTTAGGTTGAGGACCCTATGTTGCACAAAATATCTTTGTCCTAGGACTCCTACACTCTTAGTCTTGTTAAAGGCGGGCATTAACTTGGTTTTAGATGGGGTAGCAGTATGAAAACTTATTTCTTTATATCCTATTCCTTCCATATTCTTAGCAAGTTTGTTGAGTCGTAAGATATTGTCTAGCTTCTTATAATCACTTGAAAATGATCGAACTTGGGCACTAGATTTGCCAAGATCATTCTTAAGAGTCTTAACCTTAATTTTTAAGGACTCATTTAACCCTTAACTCATATAATCTTGCAGCTGGCTCCTCAAGTTTGACTACAAGACTTTCCTTTCTAACCGACATTCCTACAATTTCTTAAAGGCAGAGTTATTAACCTTTTTAAACTTAAAGCTCTCCTCAAAAAATTGGTCAAAGGACTCATATATATCCCTATCATCATCTAATTCTTCCTTTGAAGAGTCAAATTGCTCTACGTCATCATCTCTCTCATTCACATCCACAGGTTCACTTTTAACAATAGAGGCAAATGCAATATAGTTCACTCCATTATTGGGATTGGAGTTCTTATTTTCATTATCTAAGTTAGATGATAAGTGCATTTTTGTGCATTTACTTGGGCCATATTACTAATCTTTTGTGTCGTTTTAGTGTGAATTTTTACTTTAACTTAGGGTAATTTTATCATCTTTCAGTTATGGACATGTTCCTAAGCAATTGAAAATGAAAGAAGGATCGATTGGCCAATAAAAGGAAGTT